AAAAAAAAAAAAAAAAAAAAAAACAAGCATGCCAACATATCAAAATTTTAGTATTGCACTCTACGTATCCATATGTTGCACTTTATATAGTATTACATTGCACCTTATAAAAATAATACGATATACCTACCAAAATTACAACCAGAATTATAGTAATTATGCTAATCGATCAAATAATATTAGTTGATTAAAGGTCATATTTAGTTTTTTTTTTAAATAAACAAAATAACCGAATGTCCCGAACTATATGAAATGAATATTACCTATTTTTTTCATGAAAGTCAATAATACTTTTCTATCTAAAATTTTTATGTATTGCGAATGCAGATTAAGATTATACAGTTTGCACATAAATGTCTACCAAATTGCACAAAATCGAATGATATCGAAAGAAAACAAAAATTTAATACAAAATTTTATATTTTAGTTCGATTATTATTATTATTATTTTATAAATCGATTAGTTTGATATGATGTCATTTTCTATTCAAATAACAAAAATAAAAAATAAACTATACTAACTAATCTAGTTTGCACTTTGCAGTTAAACCCAACAGGCCCAAATCTGACCAAATTGGAAAAAGCTAATTTTTTGTAATTTGCAGAATGAACAACCATCCACAAATGTCGATTCATTCAAGCAAGAAACTGCAACAATCCTTTCCCTTGACACTGGTCCCGTAAACAACACTAAAACCCTTAGGCATGAAAGCGATAATTCATTTTTCGGGATGAATGGACACTGAATGGATTGAATTTTCCATTGCCCTTTTGAATCTCCAAAAGGGAAAAACCTAAGCGGTGAAGAAATTAAATGAGCAAAAGATGATGTTTCTAATTTTTTGTAATTTGCAGTTAAGTCTTCAGGAGTGGTCTAATTTACAAAACCTAGCCCCCAAATTCCAAAATCAGCTCATCCCCATCAGAAACTTCAGCCGTACCCACCGCAGCTGCTCACGTCCGTTGCCGGCGGTATGAGCTGATGGCCACATGGTCGATTCCGCCGGCGGTTGCCTGAATCGAGGTGTAACCCGGATTTTCTCGGCCACCTCACGCTGGGTCGGCTGCCTGAAATGACGGGATGGCTTCAACAGTGGAATGTGGCGGTCGCAGGAATGTGGCGGCGACGGGATAGGCCGGGCTGCGGCGGCGACAGGCTGCTACTTATGGCGGAGGTCCGACGGAGGTCGGTGTCAGCATCTAGTGGTCCGGCAGGGGGTCGGCAGCGGGTAGCAACTTGCGGCGGAAATCGACAGTTGGCGGGGGCTCTCGGGCAGCGGCTGGCTGCTACGGAGGTGTGGCCGATCTGGACCTGCGCGACGGCCGATTGGTGACGGTTGTTGGGGATGGTGGCGACGACGTCGGACGACCTGTTGCCGGCGGCGGGCGAAAGATGGTGGCTGCAGGTGGTGGTAGAGATTTTGTGTGTGTGTGTTCTCTGCGTGTGTGTGTGTGTAAGTGTGTGTTTTTGGTGTGATTGTGAGAGAGAGAAAGATATTAATGTGGAGGGTAGGTTATGGTGGGACCCATGTTGTGTAATGTCCTATATACCCTTATTTAGAGGTCAAATATGTTCATTGACCATAATGTTTTGTTAAATTATTATACTGCCATTAATGATTGACCAAATTTTGACTTAATCTTACCCATCCATGTGACATATCTAATGATATATATTTATTCTCATTTCTCGCATTAAAATTCATTCTCATATGATCCTTTCTCTACATTATACATTACATAAACTAGTATGTGGCCCGTGCGATGCACAGATAAATAATATTAAATAATAATTATAAATTGACGATATAGGCATATAATATGTATTCGTTTAGAATATTGAGTGCCATTTTGAGATTTTTTAAGATTTGAGACTTTTAAGATGATCAAATTTTAGAGGAATACTATGAAATCTTAAGTGTGAATGTGAGATTTGGAGTGCAATTTTGTATAATGTTTTTTTCTTTTAAATCATAACTAATCTTAAAAAGACCTAACAAATCTTGATCTCAAATAAGTTAAATATTTAAGGATATTTTAAGTTTTTTTTTTAATTTTTATATATCAAAGATGAACCGCTTTTGTTACCAAAAAATGTGGACACAATTGTGAATGTACATCCCGTCCAAATATCAGTTTTATTCTAGAATAAAAATTGCACGTGGTTTTATCCAATTTACACACTTTTTTTGTAAAGAAAAAATTATTCAATAAGATTGGAAGAATTGGTTAAGAATTATACAACTATTTGTTTCCAAAATTTGTATCCAATTTGTACGGATTTTAAGTTAATTTGTATTTAGAATTGTTTTCATAAATAATTGACACATTTTTTGCATAAGAATCTCCAAATTTATTACCAAAAAATATATGATTTAAGTTTTGGCAAAAAAAAAAATATGATACGAAAAAAATAGAATTCAAATTTTGCCATAAGAATCTCCAAATTAGTTACCAAAAAATAGGATTCAGATTTTGTTACTAAAGATTCACATGTATTTTTTTGAACTTTCCATTAATAGTAAGTCAAACATTATATTTATTTGGTCAAACATTCTATTAATGTATTTTTCCAACAACCTCTTTATATAGATATAGAATATAGAATATAGATATACATATAGATATAGATATAGATTTTGTTTTATCACATCCTTGCAACCAAAGGAGGCACGGAATTACCTAATTTGAGGTATTGATATATAACAATGGTAATTACCCTTTTTATTTTTTCGAAAATGGCCTACAGATATTTATACCACCAAGGAACCACAATTTGAAACCCTAAACTCATTTACCGCTTAAACCCCGGCGGCCAAGGGCACTTCGCCAATCGCCACCACTCACCTCCACAACTAGCAAAACCGGAGTGTATGCAGCTTAAACCCCACCACAGCTGACTCTCCGCCCTAATCCGCCCCGTGTATGCACTTGAGTAACCGAAGCGCGGTGTCCATTCCACCAGATAACCGCAGACAGAACATTCAGCGAACATAATTCAGTATGGGAGGGTCTAGGGTTCAGTTCAATAAGGCGCATAAAACGCGATTTGCTTCCAAGTCTTCTCGAAATGCTCACAAAGTATCTTCCCAAGGTTTTGTGTCTTCTAATTTGTTATGTTTAAACTTGTATTTTGTAGTTTTTGTTTTTCCTGCCTTAAACCCAAACATGTATGTATCTGATTTGATTGCATAATTTTTTATGATTTTTGGGTTGTTATCATTTTCATCAGATAAATTCAAGATGTCAAAATCTGATCGCAGTGTTGCCAAAGGGGCCAAGGCTGCTCGTCTGCAGCGAAATAAAATGGTACTATTGTTTGATTAATGTGCATTATTTCCGTTATTTAATTTAGTTTTCCATAGTAGTCGCGTGAATTATGTAACTCCATGCATTGACGTTCTTCGGCTAGACTTTGATCAGAAGTCTGTGATTTGTAGATGAGGGAGCAGAAGAGAGCAGCAGTTCTGAAAGAGAAGAGAGCATTATCTGGACCATCAAGCCCTCCCCGTGTTATCGTAAGTCTTGTTAAAGACTAAACGAGCATAGTAATGTTTTTCTTATGTTATCTGAACAATGAACAATGATGTTTTTTCTTTTGCTTACTGTATGTGAACGCTACAGGTACTATTTGGTCTGACAGCCCATGTGAAATTGAAATCTCTCAAAGAAGATATTGTATCATTGTTATCTGAAGAACAAAACGATGTCGTTTTTCCTGCCATAGCATCATCAGAGTACAAGTTGCGAGCCACGGTACATTTATAATGTTGCCAATTTTCCTTGTACTTAATTGGAGTAAATTATTTCTCCTCCTTTTTCAGTATTTCAATTTCTCCGACATTATTATCACATTTTTATGCCTCAAATAATTTAGATACTTTGAATGTGTTATTTCTTTTATGTTTTTGGAATTATTTATCCTCACTTCCGGTAAATACAGGATGCTGATAAAATTATTTTCAATGGAAGCGCCGTTGTTCCAATTTGGAGAATAATTCTGATCTTTATTTGAATTGGATAGGTCTTAGAAGCTCCTCATGGTGATTTGCTGACATGCATGGAAATGGCGAAGGTAGTTGCTGTTTATTATATAGTTTGTGGGTTTTCCCGTGTTGGATTGCATTTGTTTGCATTTAGTTCCTAATTGACACGTCTCCTGTCTCTTGTACCATGGGCGCATGCACTCTGTAGGTTGCTGATTTGCTTGCTTTTGTGGCATCTCCATGCTCGCATGAAACAGATGATACCGATGGATTTATTGATTCGTTTGGGTCACAATGTCTTTCTGTGTTTAGAACGCTTGGCTTACCAAGCACTGTGGTACTACTTCGTGTAAGTAATCTATTCCGTGGGTCTATCCTACACCTCCCTCCCAAAGCTATTAAGAATATACACAATCCAATCCTATAATATATTTTCAGGATCTACCTGATGACTTGAAAGGAAAAAATGAACTGAAAAAAATGTGTGCATCCATGCTTGCTCCTGAGTTTCCGGAGGATTGTAAATTTTTTCCTGCTGATAAGAAAGATGAACTGCATAAGGTAAATTAATTTTTCGCTGTTCCCTTGTCTTAGAATATCATAATAAATATGGGGAATATTGGCTTACTGAAAGCTGAGAGTTGTTTTACTCTTTCTTTGTCTTAGTTCCTGTGGCTTTTCAAGGAGCAGAGGCTTACAGTACCTCATTGGCGAAACCAGCGATCTTATCTCATGGCTCAAAAGGTTCCTATCAAAAGCCACATAATAACTTTTGTTTTGATATTTTCATTTGCCTTCTCAACGTAGCACTTGATAGTAAATTGGACAATATAGTGAAGTGTGACATATTATCAGTTTGAGTTTCATGGTTCCGGCTATATCTACTCTAGCCACATATGTGATTATAACACTGCCTATGGTTTGTCCACTTGCTATGGAAAGTGGTTGGTACTCGTAGCACCATTTTTATATGTTATGCATTCAAATGGAACAGGTTGATGTGGTAGCTGAAGCTGGTGATCCAGAAAAGTTTACACTTGCTCTTACTGGTTATCTACGTTCGCATGCCCTCTCGGTGAATCAACTGGTGATGGTTCTATCTATGCCATTTGATACTCAAAATCAGAATCTTTTTCGATGTCTGAATGTTTCTAGATCAGGTACATGTTGCTGGAGCAGGGGATTTCCAGCTGTCCAAAATTGAACTTCTCAAGGATCCATGCCCACTCAATAAAAGGAAAGGAGTAGATGTCATGGACTCTGAGGATGATGTACAAGTATTTTTCCTTTCGTGTCACTTTTCATCACAATATCCATTCCTTACAGCATATCATTGGTTCTCATACACAGACAGAAAGGAGAACAGAAAATGCAAGAGACACTATCACATTTTAATATTGTGCAACTAATTTTGTTTGTTTGATCACTTGAAATTTTAAAATTGCTATCAAGGCAAAATTTTACATGTATTGGCTCATTGTAAAATACTTATGGCCCTTTTGCGAAGAGTGATGGGATGGGGAATCGAGGGAAAGAGCCCATTATAACATCTAACCCTCTCGTTTGGGAACACAGAAACGAACCATTGGATAATGTGGTCCACAGGTAGTTTGGCAAACAAAGGGAAAATGGTCCACAGGTAGTGTGGCAATCAGTTCCAAAACCACCCCTCTTTTTACACTAGGGAATCATGCGACAATATCATGAGACACATGATTAGGTCCATAAAGGCTATAGTCCTATCATACTTCCCAGAAGGGCCCTTATAGTATCTCTCTCCCAGCTCTCTTTCATGGGTGGAAAAATTGTATAGATGGGTTTTCTCTACTCATTGAACTGTAATTCTCATTGTTCAATGTCAAGTGGATGAGACTGACTTAATAGCTGTAAGACCTCACCAATCACAAGGCTGACAACAGCTTAAGCCTGATTTTGTTAGATATTGGGTTTTCCCCCAGCTTTTTTAAACAAACCATTTCTAGATTTGTTGCTATCTTTTTCATTCATCTGATCTTCTATTTGCTTTAAATAATGGCAGGTTGTGACTTGTCTTGTGCCTGATCCGATGAAACAAGAGCATGTAGTAGTTGAAAATATCCCTGATCTCTTGGCTGGAGAACAGGTTAGTATGTCTTCTGGTCATATTTCACCCTTATCCTGTATTCAGATTCATGTCTCTTGAAATATGTAATCCATGCAGTATCTGGTCACAATTTGAGCTATACAGATAACAGATATTATTATCCAGGCACATAGTGTGGCTTTTGGCCTATTTCCATTCCCATGCTTTACAGCATCATTATGTCTTCTCACAAACTTGTTTTAAAACTCTTGTGCTTCTTTCCTTAATATCTTCAGACATGGCCAACAGAGGCAGAAATGGCTGAAGCTGACAGAAATCACCAGGAGAAAAAATTGAAAAAGAGGAGGCTCCCTAGAGGCATATCAGACTACCAGGTTTCGCGTTGTTTCCATTCTTAGAGTCTGTTTTTATTCTCTTCTGTCATGGTGTACAATTGTAGACAACTTGGCACAAATTAAGTAACTCGCCTATTATTTTGGGTTGGTTTGCAGGCTGCATGGATTGTGGATGATTCTGATGTTGACTATTCTGATAGCGATGAAGGTGGAGATGATGGTATGGTGATGGATGATGGAGAGAACTTACCTGAGCAGAAGCATGGCAATGGTTTTGACTTTGATGATGACCAGGCTTCCCTTAATTTAAGAGATTCTGATGGAGAAACTGAAACAGAATCCGTGATGATGGAGGTATTTGCTGATAATAACTGATGGTGTTCTTTAATAGCAGATTGTGGATAATACCCCGAGAAGATTTACTTTCATTTCTATATTTTTCCCATTTCTTTTACTGTTTTCACTTGTTATCTCTCTACTGGGAAAGATAATCTGGTATTGCAAAGACAAGAACTACACTTACTGTTTTTGATACATATGTTGTACCTTTTCTTCCGGTGAAGTGTAGTGATATTCCTGCAAGCTTTCGGAGAGCAGTTTTTCACAGTGAGTTCTCAATTAAGTCATTTATTTGTCTGAAGTATGAATGAGTTTTCGTTGCACCGCAGGATGGTGACAGCTTAACCAAGGAACAATTAGCAGAACAGATTCGTAAAATTAAAGAAGAACATGCTGAAGACGAGGGTACCTTTTTTATTATATTATTCTATGTTTTATGTTTTCTTCTTAATTGTCAGCTTCTAATAGTTGGTCAGTAGCTTCAATGGGGAAAGCCGTTATGAACAAAACAGAAATTTTGTTGGATTTCTGATTGCATCTTTTACATCTCATCTCTAGAATTTCCAGATGAAGTGGACACACCATTAGACATTGCTGCACGGAAAAGATTTGCCAAGTATAGAGGTGTCAAGTCGTTTAGAACTTCAACCTGGGATCCCAAAGTATGTCTTCCATATATGATTGATTAAACCATTTTAAGCTGTTATCTTTGGCCAATTTTTGTTATTATGACTGCAGGAATCTCTGCCTCCTGAATATGCTAGGATTTTCGCATTTGATAATTTTTCAAGAACACAAAAGCACGTTCTTGCTAAAGCCTTTACTATGGAGCAAGAGTCTGACAGCTGTATATCAGCTGGCTCTTACGCAAGGCTTCACATAAAGGATGTCCCATCTAACATAGCTTCCAAGTTGTGCATGTTGTCTAAGACAATGCCTGTAATAGCCTCTGGCCTATTGCAACATGAGTCTAAAATTTCTGTTCTCCATTTCAGGTACGCCTCTTAATCCTATTCATTGATGGTTATCTTATCTAATGACTCTGGTTACTGCTTCCTCACCGTATTAAACTTTATGGATCCTTAGCATTAGGAAGCATGATACATATGATGATCCTATTAAAGCGAAGGAAGAACTCCTATTTCATGTTGGCTTCCGGCAGTTTGTATCAAGGTAATTTTGCTGTCGTGTATTGATGGAGAAATTGAAAACTAAGTAAATGCACACTCATGAGACAGGCTACCGAATCTTGATCCATAATATGGACTCCTGAACTAGATCTTGAAATTTAAATTTAAAATAAAACCAAATTAAACTTCAAGAAAACGCAAATCACTAAAAACCCAAGGGAACCCTTAAAAGGCTAAAGAAGAAATATAACTCTAAAATAACTGGACCCTAAGAACTAAAAGAACTAAATATTATGGGAAAGGAAGCTCTATATACTGAAAAACTAGAATTTTCTATTTGCTCTTACCCCAGACATGAGTTTTTTCTACATATAAATGGTTTACTAGTCTCATGTGCCGTCTGCCTTTGACAATGCAGGCCAATTTTTTCTTCTGATAGCATCAATGCCAACAAGCACAAAATGGAGAGGTTTCTTCATGCTGGGAGGTTTTCAGTAGCTTCAATATTTGCGCCGATTTCTTTTCATTCTCCTCCTTTAGTAGCTTTGAAGAAATTAGCTGAAGACTCACCTCCTGTAGTTGCTGCCGTTGGTTCGTTGAGAACTGTAGACCCTGATAGGATTATTCTCAAGAAAATCATTTTAACTGGGTAAGCCAGATGATCATTAAGATGAAACTATATTCTGGTTGATGTTTGTGTTGCCTTTAGTATTATAGTTATCAATGTTGGAAAATCAACGTCGATCTGGAGAACTTCTTTTCTACAATCTCTACTGCATTCTAGCTAGGACGTGTATAATTTCTTACTGCTCACGAAATTAGGTGGTTGCACCGTTTGGAAGGTTTTGTTTTAATTAATAAATAGGATTGGGTTACAGCATTGCAATTTTTCCATGTTTCAATTTACTTTGAGTTGCTGTACCTGGAAAAACCTTTGAGTCGCTGTGCGTACCTGAAGAATTCAACAGCATGTCCTGAAATTTCAGTTTCCAAGAGAATATTGACGAATAGCTAAATTTGATATACTTATGAACTGACAATAGAGTACACACCTTATGCAGTTACCCTCAGCGTGTGTCTAAATCAAAAGCGACTGTGAGGTACATGTTTCATAGTCCGGAGGATGTCAGATGGTTCAAGGTAAGATAATATGTACCTTATGGTAATTTTTTCCTAATGGCACAGTTTTACTTTTTTATTTCTAACTGTGTGGTGATTGCAGCCTGTAGAAGTTTGGACAAAATGTGGTCGACGTGGTCGCATTAAGGAACCTGTAGGCACACATGGTATGTTCCATCAGTGTCGATATACAAAAGTAGAAACTCCTCTCTCTATTGAAATTACAAATATAATCTTGAAGGTGTGTTTCTATTTTACATTTTTCTACTTGGAACACATGTGAAGGGATTATATTTGTAATTTTGGATGACAGGGTTTCTTGTTATAATGCTAAAACTCAAGGGTAGTAACATCTGCTGTTATTACTACCCTTTAAAATTTCCACGTCGTATAATCACTTCGATTTTGAACTTGGCCTATGTTGGAGTCAAAGGGTCTGAAAACTAATCATGTCCTACGAGTTAACGACCTGAAGTTCTTGATTATTAATAAAAACAATCATGAGACACTGAATTTATATCTTTCTAAAATTGTTTGTGTTGTATCTGTGTTCTGATCGTATTTTATCCTGCAGGGGCTATGAAGTGCATATTTAACGGTGTCCTTCAGCAACATGACACTGTATGCATGAGTTTGTTCAAACGCTCATATCCAAAGTGGCCTCAACAGTGGTTTCCACTACAGAGTGTTTAAATATATTGGCAAATGTAAGAGTTTGCTTTCGAAACGGGAATGAAGCTGTGGGTCTGATTTTAATTATTTGCTTTGTGCTGTGTTGGCTATGCAAACTAGTGGCCAGCCAAAAATCGAGTGTTTTTCCTCTAGCAGGCGGAGCAGAAATGTTGGTTGTGTATTTTATTCTGGACATAATAGATAAGTGGTGCTTTTCTATGTGGAAGCCATGTATGTGGATGCAAATGAGTGATTAAGAACTTCGTGATATGGATGTTAATTTTTGCTTGAAAATTGACATCCAGCATTTGTACTTTTAGTTTTGGAGTTTATTGGTTTTTGTGTTGCTTTAATTTATCCATAAGCCATTGCACGTTCAAGAAGGGCCACTCGGGCTATTTTCATTTTCAATAATTTGAAGTGTTAAACAGTGATTTTTGTGCATGCATGAATTATATTCCGCATGATTACTTGGAGTGCACTATGTAATTAAGGGGTCGGCTGTTAGAAAATAGGCTGTTGATTGATATAACCCTTTTTTGGGAGTGCTCAGTTACCAACATACTAGTAATTGGAAGATAACCATCACATTTTCCAAATTTTGTTTAGTCATCCAGAAAAATAGAAGAAATTTTGGTGGTTAATAACAAATAAAAAAAAAAACATACGTGACATTTTAAATCAATTCTAATTTTGCATGTAATTATAGAGAAAGAAAATCGAATATGATTGCAAGTCCAGACGAGCGTGTAAGGGCTCCCAGTTGTTTGGGCACGATGAGTGCACCTGCTCGTGCTGAAAAGGTTCTAACTCTGAATAACTGGGCACATCACGAATGGTGTTTTTTGATGCTATGAATCCCTTGAAGATGACCAAAAACATCTATAAGAACCCATATGACTTGAAATTCATAATTCTACGAAACTTGACATAAAGATGAGAAATTGATATAGAACATTAGATAGTTCATGTTCATCTTTTATTCATTATTCACTCTTCATATCTTGAGAGCCTAAACACAAGTAAGTTTCTATCTTCCAAAGAATAAATTTGAACAAAGAATTCAAAAAAAATAAATGAAGTCGAGGCACATGAAATACGCTCCCCATAAACCAAGATACGACGGCTTTTACCTTCGTGCTGTTCTTTGTCATTTTCAGAAAGACGATACATACACACATATCCAACACATGTTTCCATAGTACAATGATGTGCCGGAGAACACTGCAAGTCTGCAAGTGCTGATTGTTTTCATGTGTGTGTGATTGTGCCACATGTGCCTGGTCACTCCATTATAAAGTGATGCGGCTACAAATAATAAATCAAACTCGAGCAATTTAGAACCAATTTGGCTGGTCCCTCTAACCTAAAGAATCATGCTACATTGTCACAATGAGTTATCGAAAATACACACGTCAAGCAACTACGACTCTTATTATAATACTATCAATATAAAAAATTAAGATATTTTCAATGGTAAACCAATCTAGCGAAGCAGATTAACTCAAACTGTTCATCTGAATGTCGACTAAAAAATAACAGCAATTGCACTAAAGGACCATTCTACACAATGGTTGACATAAACTTGGACATAAAATGCACACACGGTGCGATCTTTGTGATTTTGTACATCAGATCACCAATGAATCAACAGTTCAAAATACATACACATCGTTATGATTTATGTCCACCGTTATATCAGATGCATTATGTCCAATAGCATTATTCTGCTCTATATGGGGGCAAGATCCAAAATCTGCAGTTATGGACTAAAAACAATAGATTGGATAGTAAAGGGATCTCATTTTCATTCAACAGAAACTTTATGAGTAGAAATAGATACTCAAGAAAATATTTGAAAAATATATTATTAGGGTGATATCAATTAGTATTTCAACAATCATATTCCATCTTGTAGTTTCAACACAAGTGCTTACATATGAAATTGCTGGATGACATAAGTACATATGATCTCTAAGTGCAGTTGAATACTGACTCTGATATATTAGATTAGAGACTAGATCTCTTGCAAGTACATGCAAAACTTTTCATGTCACACGAAGAACGTTTCTTCCAGGTTCTTGAACACAACTCATTAACTTCGTCGACCACCACCCACGGTATATCACTTCATTTATTTTCATTACCTTCCAACTGAAAACCTGGGAAAAATATATGAACATGGGAAGAAAAGACACCGCCATCTTTTTGCAGCCATGCTCATAATGTTGCACTCGAGACCAGGACCATTTTCAAGAGTAACTAATCTGGGAATTAAAAAAAAATCAAGAAAGGCAAACATAGCCACAGTTGAAAACTAATCTAAATAAATCGATCAGCTTCAGCTCATTTTCTGTGTTTAACAATTCAATAACAAAATAGATTGTGATTGCTATTCAACCGCAACAGATGTGTATATATATGTCTACTCAAAGTCCAAATTTCAGATTCTAGCATGGCAGGACTGACCTAAATGTTCTCTCCCGGGGGAAGTTCAGCCAGTTTGGGTGGAGCACCAAGCAACCGTTCCATGTCAAAACGAACTTCGATATTCCGGATGCTATAACCAACCACCATAAGCCAATAAAGCAGCTTCGCAAGTTCGGGGGCACTTGTCTCTGTTGCACTGGTCTGTAAATCACCAATTACTAAAAGCTCAATAACAATATTGCCCAGGAAACGGCTAGCTAAAATCAGACATGAAAATGAGTTTTGAACTTGGTTGGGCAGCAAATGCCTGAAGTTAACCACTATTAAGCCTTCAAGGTTCCTTGATTACGGCTATCATTGACATCATTTAACAATAGAGCGACAAACTAACTCAAAACCTCATCTTTACAAATTTAAATTTCAACATACAATTGAAGTTTTGTTGGCTTATAATTTATCTCTACATAAAAGGTCACAGCAACAATATTATAGCCTATAGGAATATATTATGCTGATATTTTGTTAGCAGGAGAAGAAACAAAAAGAAGTGAGCATAATAAAGCTCACAAGCTGAGTAGCTGTGAATAAGGTCTGTTCTGACTATGGTCCTAAAGTCTTCAGAAAAAAAAAGGAAGAAAGAAAAGAAAAATAACAAAAACATTAGTGTACCACTATCCAGTATGACTGAGGATTTAAAGGCTCCAATTTAAAAATATAGATAATAGAGAAGGCCTTGACAGTGCTAGTGAATAGTGATATTTACCTTCATCTGACTAGGATCAGAAACAGCCAAGAGGCGTTTTATGAATGTGTTCATTGCTGCCACTGCATCCTCCCCGACGCTACTTGTTAGCTCCTAAGCAACATGAAGAAATTCAATTACGATAAAGTATTTGCTGAGCATTTTAATTGAACTAGGCACTAGCAAACTAACCATGTTAACAGTGACATAAAAGAAATCAAGAATCACACTTAACCCCAAACCATTCTCCAATTCTTCAGCATTCATAAATAGCTACCATGTCATTCAAGATTTGCCCTCCCACCCTTGATCTACTTTATTTTGTCAGAGTATTTATTACTTCATTTTATTTTTTTTTTATTTTTTTTCTGTTTCTGTATATCATAATCAGCCAAAGAATATTTTACGGGAACATGAACAAAGCCGGCAGTCAGATTTCTTCTTACCTTGAGATTTTGAGGCTCGAGAGTTTTGAGATAGGCCAACAGTTCATTCTGTCCGTTTGAAGAGTTTCTTGCAACCTGGCGATTGAGTTCCTCTATTTCTGCTTCAAGTAGTTCAATGTATTTCACAGCATCGATTGTCTCGGGACCTGACACATTGTTCCACCTAATAACTTCACCAGACACCTTTTTCTGCGTGCCCGGGGCATAATCTGGCACATCCTACACCATCAAAAGGCTAGGTAAGAAAACCCACCTCAAACCTACATGCTCTACTAGACAATGGTAGATAATTGTGATAGTAGGAAATACTAGATAACTATGCATGCAAATCAGATGATAGGAAACACAGTTCAATCATTTAAGGCAATTGAGATATATATTTATAGCAGGTCGTGCACGAATATCAGAATGCACAGATGTAGGGGCTTCAAGATAACTCCTGGTTTACAAACATATTATTTGTTTCCAGGTTATAACTGGTATATAAGGAGTTGCAATAGAATCTAACCAGTGAACTTCCCTTGACTAGAAAATGTACTATTTATGCTAGCCTTTCCATAGAGTCATAGACCAATAGATAATATAGAAAAAAACCAGTTAATTGCAGTGACATTCTGGTTTACTTAAGTTCCTCATCACTTAATATTCATTGTGAAGATAATCAACATCCCAGGTGACCAAGGTCATTTCTATTGACATTAAAATATGTTCCATAATTTGCTCTAGCATGTTGGTAATCTGGGGTTTACTTCTCCTTTGCCACGATCTAAATGGCAAGACAGATCTCAATGTGATGCATTAACATGGTATATATGAAACAGTCAGGATTTCATTTTATTATTCTCTTTCTCAATGAGATTCTAAACAAACATAATGTAGCTGATTGGGGAAATTGTGAGCAAAAGAATCTCACCTTCTCTTCTTGCGGTTCGGGAAGAGCAACTTGTTCCAAGCTCTGTTGCAATTCCAACCGGTACTGGGCATTCCTAAACATGTACCCAGTCATCAAAACACTGTACATTAGCTGGGCCAAGTTTTCAGCAACCTGAAACAAAGAAATGAATGACAATAATATACATCACACCGGAAAACCTACTTCCAGGTCGTATATTGCTCCCCAGAAAACACTATCAAATTTGATGCTAAATATTATAAGGTAAAGCACTTACAGTAGTAACCGTCACAGCAAAAAATTGTGAGGGTAGTGTTCCAATCATATTTGTCACAGTTTGGCGCATAGCATCAACTACCTGATGTAGATACGCACATCAAAATTAAAAAATAAATAAAAGCATTGACCAAAAAGAATTCTATAAAACCAACTTTAACTGCTCAAATTGCATCACAAGCTAGAGAATGACCAAACAAAATGGTCGCCCTTTAAGAATATATCTCAGCATTGAACACCAAAACTCACAGAGATATTTCCACAAACACCTATGGGAAACATATTATATAAAGACACAGTGCTAAACACCTGCTGAGGCGCCCTTTTGACAAACAACTCCATGAATTCAGGCTTCACATTCTGCACGTACTCCAACAGTATCTCCCTCCTGCTCTTAGGCTGCACACCAAGAAGCAAAAGAAAAAAAAATAACATTAAGTAATTGAGCCAAAATCATTATTTTCCCACGGGAAAAATAAAGGCTAAGTTTACCAGAGTCCCGTTGGGGGGTTTAGAATCGCCGGCATTAGTCGCACTATTCTTGTCACTTTCTGTTGCTCTGACGACTGAGAATTTTCCTCTGTAATTGGGCAGCTTTCTCGGGAATCGGAGGAAAGGGGGCGGAGCATACGACGGCGAAAGATAATATGAGGAAGATGACGAGGAGAAAGATATCGACGATGAGGATAAGAGAAGCGAAGAGAGCTTCAACGTCGAAGAAGACATTTCCAAGTGAGAGAATATAATTGAATTGAAGCTCTCCCCTCCTTCAGGCGTAGTATTTTACAACAAGTACTCGGGTTTCATACTTTCATCCTTTGTTTTGGCTCAGCTCAAGTCATTTCAAGCATTGGCAAGTGTAAAATGAAAATTTGATGATGTAATACTATAAAGTTTCGCACGGTCCGACAAACCTAATTTATAGAAAATTTTCTTGTTAGGTGAGGAAAATAAATTAAAAGCAAGTTTTCTATTTTATTTGCTTGTGAATTAATTAAATTCTTAGTATTTATTATCTATACTTATATAATAAGAATTAACATTTATCAAAATTAGTAACTTAATTAATGGTCAAAGTCAGTTTTGCATTAATTACTTTCCAAAATCGGTAACTCTTATGTCCATTTCACACGCCTTATTAAGACAGCATTTATGTCCTTTTCACACGCCTTTTAAACTCATTAATTATACCGATTTAATTCTCATGAAATTCACACGCCTTATTAAGACAGCATTTATGTCATTTTCACACGCCTTAGCATTTATGTCATTTTCACACGCCTTTTAAACTCATTAATTATACCGATTTAATTCTCATGAAATAATCCCAATTCGCACGCCTCATTAACATTAACAACATCCTTATCTTTTTTATGGTAACGAAATAATCCCATTTCACACGTCTCATTAACAGCATCCTTATCACATATTTTTTTATGGTAGCGAAATAATCCCATCTCATACGTCTTTTAAACATATTTTTTTAGCGATAAATTGAAGAAACAACAATTGTATTATAAGGAGAAGATATTTGAGATAAATTTAAGATTCAAAAACAAAATCCGTATTATAAGGAGATTTTTGTATGGTAACGAAATAATCCCATTTTATACGCCTTTTAAACATATTTTTGTAGCGATAAATTGAAAAACAACAATCGTATTATAAGGAGAAGATATTTGGGATAAATTTAAGATTCAAAAACAAAATCCGTATTATAACGAGAAGATATTTTATACAGCTTATCAATATTCAAAACTGATATTAAGTTTGTTATTCATTTCCTAAAACAAATACACGTGTTGAATTATTATCTCTAAAAAACTATACAGAACATACGTATAAAATAGGCAATATAAAATCCACGCCAAAAGGACATTAACACGTTTTTACTTTTTTCTAAACAATCTCTACTTACATTAAAATTAAAAATTATATTTCTTCCATTTGCTAGGACTCTTTCAAAAGTTACGATTTTTTTGCCGATTTAATTTTCTAAAGTTCACATGGAACAAGATTGCTATTGATTTTCAGCCGATTTGAAACTCTCTTTAACAAGATACTCTCATTAACATATATATATATATATGTACCCTCATTACCAACATCACCCATTCAACGTATTACAATTACAATCGCATATTGTACAAAAAAAAAATCACTCTCTCTGCCATGGATCAAGCATTTGGATTAATCGAAGAAATTAATAGGAGCAAGAGACCTATGCTTAAAGTCCGCATTGTGAGGATGTTTTATCAAGATAAGGGCAGCACATTCAAGTCGCATCTCGAGCTTATTTTGCATGATAGAACGGTAGGCATATGATTTCGATTTCATTTCTCACTATTTGTTATTTACGTATCATATAGATTACTTTTACATTTGCCGTTTCAATTTATTTTTGAAGGGAAAACGCATTACAGCTTGACTAAGAGCAGTCTATTTTCCGGGGTTCAAAGAGAAGTCCATTGAAGAGGGCATGATCATTCTTATACGAAACTACCAAGTTGATAGCAACCTTGGTATGTATAGATCTGCAACTAGCGAGTTTAAGATAATACTACATGGGGGCACTGTATTTATGAAATGCAAAGACACTTTGTCTTTTTCTATGTTTCGATTTCTATTAAGAGACTTTGCAATATTGCAAGATGTCAACAAAATAGACGAGTCAATTCTATTCGGTAATTTTACTTTATACTATTGTGAATATTATGTGAAGTATTTGATTTACTAATTATTTATAAAAAATTCTATATATATATATATATATATATATATAAGAATTACCATTTTTTAAAAATGGAAAGTCAAATTTCAGTCAATATTAATTACCTACCATTTTTAGTAACTTTTTTTTTTCTTAATAATCATATTAACAATATTTTAAAAGAGTGATTAACATGCTTTGTTATATAGATACGTGATTTTTACTTAAAATTGAAATGGTAACAGACTTTGTTCATTAAAAATTTACAACATGTTAACAAGATTTTTCAATTTATGAGGCTTTGTTCATAAATTTTTCAACATGTAACAGCATGTTAACCATTTTTCAAAGCCTGTTAATATATTTCAAGTTTTAATAAGAATTACCATGTGAATATGACAACAATATTTATATATTAATTCATTTCAATTTTTAATATTCCCCAAACTTCAAATAATCATATTAACAATACGTTTATATGACAACATGTTTAATGATTAATGAATATTTATATATCATTTTATTAATATTTATGTGAATAAAATAATATTTTATTATATTTTTTATTAATGTACAGTGAATATGGTTTTCAGAATCGAACCATCATCGAAACGATCAAATTATTCTATTAAATCATTTGTAGTTTATTCAGATTTTAATTTATAAACATTTTAATATCAATATATATACATTTTAATATATATATATATATATAGAGAGAGAGAGAGAGAGAGAGCGTACTTTTTGTAATAAATTTTAATAAAATGTGTTACTTAAATATCTAAACAATTTATAAATTCAAATGTTAAAACTAATTGATAAACAATTTATAAATCTCTATTTATTTAAATATGTAATTTTATTTAAAATAATTTTAAATGTAACAAAATTTATTTAGAAAATCGTAACGATCCTACCAGTCCAACTGACTGATGTTGACAGATTCAATAGTAAATATTTTATTCAAGCGAACTACACTGTTTATAACCCGGTTCTCGGTCCATCCGGTCGGACTGTGTCCAACCTGGTTTAATTTAAAAACAATGGGTAAATCATAATTAATGATATTATATATTTAATTTATAATATAATCGTAATATTATTTTCCCGTGCATCGCACGGGCCACGCACTAGTTTATAATATATGATTTATATTTATTATAATATATATATATATTATAGAGTCCTAATCTTTTAGGAGAAGGATTACATAATATATATCTTATGTGGTTACTTACTATATATGCCACATGCATTAATGAGTTTGATTATATGTCATAATTAGTTTTCTTTCTCTCTTGTGGGACAAAAAATAAGTGGCAAGGACTATGAAATGATGAGTTATTCATACGTAAAGAATTTTGGACGTTCTAGAGAAGATCTAAAGAGGATTTGAAAAGATTCACCGCAAATATCTTTGAAGATTTTGGAAGATTGGCTATTTTAAGAAAGTCGTGTTCTTACACAAGTCTGAAAACACAAGATCCCTATCGGAAAATCAATTCTGAAGATCTCCAAATCACATACACAAATTCTACATCAAGAAAACTTATTATAAATGAAGGGTTTTGTCCAAATCAAAAATGAATCACTTGAGAAGAAAATTGGCTCCTAAAAGAAAAATAATAAACTTGTAAAGACTCCTTACTTTAAAGAGATTGTATATAAGCCTACTCAAACGATCAATTGAAGAAGAGCTGCTACAATAATCGACTTTATCATTCATCAGCTTCATTTAAGTGTTTGAGAGTTTTTTATTCATCTTATTTTATTCGTCTTAGCACTTCAGCGTTCTTACATTGTTGACGAACTGCGTTTGTTTAGTTTCTCTTTTTTTTCTCTTTTTTTTTTTTTTTTACAAACACTTTGAGTGCTTAAGAATTAAGTACTTTTATAGCTGAGAGGGATCCATAGCTATTTTTAAAATCCAGACGTTCTGGCCAGGGAAGTAGTTGATAGAGTCGGGTATAGTGTTTGTTAGATTAGGAGAGAGTCATATTCGTGTAATTCTAAGTTGTTTATTGTGCCCAAATCGATCTATTAATGAAAGAACTTTGAGGGGTGGTGAGACGCTCCTTGAAGACATATATTTTTATATCGCTTCCGCTTTTGATTTTGGTGTTCGAACACACCTTGTGCACTCTACTCCTCCGACCCAGTTTTTCATACATAACTGATGTTTTTCATATAATGGTCGACGTGGGGTTGATTATTTTATATTTAAGCGCCAATACAAATTATATACACCAACCATTTTACATCGTGTAAAGTAATACGGCCTTGACGAGTCCATACAACTTGTATAAT